ATGAAATAAGAAAATAAATAATAACTTCATTATTGCCTCTAGGGCATATTTCCTTCAAAATGAGCTAATATTTGGAGCGAACCTCACGCAATAAATTGTCTACCATGGGAAACAAAATTGGAATTGTTTGAATTTTTCTAGTATTTTGTCTTTGGCCGTTTGTCTATATATTCACACATGTACTAAGTTTCCGGTTAATACAATTCTAGCATGAATAATAAACATTTATCATGAAATAAGGAAATAATTAATGACTTTATTATTGCCTCTAGGGCATATTTCCTTCAAAATGAGCTAATATTTGGAGCGAACCTCACGCAATAAATTGTCTACCATGGGAAACAAAATTGGAATTGTTTGAGTTTTTCTAGTATTTTGTCTTTGGCATGCGATGCGTAACTCCTGAGACCATTACTTTGGAAATATGCAAACATAATATAATCACACCAATTTTGTTACTTTTGATTCTCACGTGGAATCAACCAATTCATGAAGGAGAGGGATGATCATATTTAATTTGTGATGACATGCACTAACATTTTGCTAATTAAATACGTGGTTAAATTTTGACCCAAAATACGGAAAGGACAAATAAATCAGGATAGTACTGATTTTAATTATTTCTGGTGTTCGTTGTACTGCCATGATTGAAGATGAATAGATCAAAAGTTTCCTGCAAAAAAAAGAATAAAAGATGAACCAAGTATCAGTTCCATCCGGGCGCATGTGTGTGTGTGCTTCTAGGTCCGCAATTTGACTCATTAAGAAAACATGTTTTTTTGTGATGAAAATTATATGTTTTGAAACCTAATCAGTAACTTCAAAAAACCCTTGACAATTTGACATATAACATATATTTTGGATATAATTTTGATGACAGGTTTCCAAAATATATGACGTTTTGGTAAGCCTAGCCTACAAAAACATCCTATATTTTGGAACGGATGTAGTATTTATTTGAACAAATTGAGTATCTAGGAACATGCGCATGGCCTGCGAATTGAGTAATAAGTCGAGAAGAAGGGAGAACTTCTCATGAAAACTAGACAATTCCCCGCGCGTTGCTGCGGGAATTTGTGGCAATATGTTTAGATGAGACTTGGGTTGTGTGGAACATGAATATGATAATAAATTAGCAATTAACATTTCCTTCCATTGCCTGAAGTTAACCTGAAAGGTTTTAGTTTCATAACATCATCTCAACCATTTCGACGTTCACATAAGTTGTTACAATCTAGGCCACATTTAGATACAACATTTATCGATTTATTGCATTACATGACATAAAATGTGTATTGTTGCATTTGTTGAAATTTTGTACATGTATAGGTAGAATTTGGTAATCCCTAAATGTTCTTCCTGAAATCAATCAGAAACCTCCAAGCTTGAATGATAGAACCGTGACCTGAAGCTCTCAAATGACAAAAAAAACCCTTAGTGTGCCTAGTTGTTCTTCCCTCCAATTCAGTCTTAATGCTGCTGAAAATATTAGATGGATCTCATATGAAACAAAATGGCAGCAGTAACTATTTGGAAAAAAATACCAGTGCTATACTCGAGTTACTATCATATAAAAA